AAACAGTTTATACTCATGTCAAAGAATTCTTGATTTTTTTTTTTTCTTCAGGGGAACAATTTATACTCATGCCAAGGAGTGTTTTTTTTTTTTCTTCAGATAAACAATTTAAACTCGTGTCAATAAGTGTCATTTTTTTTTCAAGTTGACAGTTTATACTCGTGTCAGAGAGTATCATTGACAGTTTAGGCTCGTATCTAGGAGCACTTCAATTTTTATTATTCTTCAACTTTGCAAGAATCAGACGGCAATCCAAACCTATACTGAAGGGTATGGACATTCGTCGTCACTTTGAGAATTTTCTTCTTGGTTTCCTTGACTTAATGCCCCCTGTGATTTAGCACTTTCAGTTGAAGTCATTGTTGTAGCATGGTGTGTTTCTTGATGCAAGTCTCTCGAGATGATGCTACTTCGTCATCCAAGTTAGAAAGTATATTGTCTTCTTCTTCAGACTCACTTCCCTCATCTTCTTGAAAGTTTTTAAGTACATCTGGAACATCTTTCCTAGCACCATGATTTTTCACACTAAGTAACATGTCATAGGCTCGAGTAACAAGCTCTTCAAATATGCGAGGCTTAATCCCTTGTAGGATGTAAAGAAGTTCCCAGCGCATGCCTTGCATACATGCTTCAACTGCAGAAATTTCAGACAAACAATCCTTGCAATCAACACTTAGAGTTCGCCAACGGTTGATGTAGTTAACTACGGGTTCACCCTTCATCTGTTTTGTGTTTGTAAGCTCCAGTATACTTACAGTACGACGATTGTTGTAGAAACGGTTGAGAAATTGTTGTTCCATCTGCTCCCAACTGTCAATACCTCTGACTTTGAGGTCTGTGTACCAATCAAATGCATTCCCTTTGAGGGACCGAACAAATTGCTTAACAAGGAGATCTCCATTTGTACCAGTATTACTGCAAGTTTCTACAAAGTGTGCGCCATGTTGCTTGGGATTGCCTTTTCCGTCAAATTGTTGAAGCTTTAGAGGTTATTACCCAACCGGCATTTTTAAGATGTCAATTCTTTCTGTGTAAGGCTTTGAGTACATGCAAGCACTTTGAGAAATGCCACTGTATTGTTCTCTTATGCAATTCACTATCGTGTCTTGAAGTTGTTGGACAGAGAGTGAGGTGACTGAGGCAGCTTTAATTGTTGGATTGGCAAACATGTCATTTTGATCATCAATTGGAGTGTTCTCTGGCATGGAATTAGAATGAGGAATTTGGCCTTTACTTGACTCAGCATTGTCATCATGCAATTTTAATTTTTCTGTCAGTGAGGCAATTTTCAGATCTTGCTCATTGAGAGAGTGTTGTAATCTTTCAATTGCACGGGTCATACTCATCAATTGTTCTTCGTACGAAGTAGTACTCGTCATCATGACTGGCATAGTGATGGAGTCAGAAAAAATCTTTGGCCATGAGTGGACTGATGAGCGCTGAAAAGTGCGTAATTAAACCCCTTAAGCTTAGGCATTCTAGTACCTTTATCTATCTTATTTTACCGTTTTAGATTAATTTCGTATTATTTCCTTTTTCAGGCACTTATCCCGAAAATAAGCTAACTCAGTCAACTAAGAGCTTAATTGAAGTAATTCTGGGATTAAACAAAGAAAGGAGCAAAGTGGAGAAAGAAGGAAGCAAATGAAGCCAAAGGTGGCAAGCAGCAAAGTTCGATCGATCCAAGTTCAAGGTTCGATCAATCGAACAATGATCGATCTCAGCACTTCAAGATAGATCCAAGCCTTGACCCAAAAGCATAAAGTTCCAAAAGTTCGATCGATTCAACACCATCCTTCGATCGATCGAACACTTTTGTCCTTATTAAAATGATTGATCCTATTCACAGCTGTACCACCCACTAACCACTTTTGTCCTTTTCCCATAAATATCTCCCATAAATATCTCAGATTTATCTTTTTCTAAAAAGCTCAGCCAGTTGGTTCGATCCAGCCTAAGTTCGATCGATCTCACTTATTTTCGATCGATCCAAGACCAAGGTTCAATCGATCGAACTTCCTCCAGTGCGAAAAAGTTAAAATTCCATCTCATTGAAAGTTGTCCTTGATCCAATCATGAGAGAATATTGTGTGTACGACCCCAGCTCATTTTGGGTGTCATTTTGACTTACCTATATAAGGATAAGGATTGCTTTTTACAAGGGCGGCGAACATTATTTTCATATCATCTCTTGGAGAGGAAGCTTAGAGGAAGAGGAGACTAGAGACACCATTGGAGATTCTTCATCAACAAGGAGCAGATTTCAACCATGGAATGAGCCCTTGAGGGTTGGATTATCATTACCATGAGTGGCTAGACATCCTCTTGGGGCTAGAGTTAGCCCCAAGCATGCTTTCTATATCTTAATCTTGTATATTATTAAGGGATTAGTGTTGTAATTAATGTTTTGACATTTTTATACATATAGATCTTGTTTATTCAATGATTTATGTGGTTTAATGCTTCCAATCAATCATTTCATTCTGTCCATATGTCTATGTATGCTAGAATAGATGTTCATGTGTTTACCTCTATTTCTTGTGTAATTGATGCATGTCTATGTGTATTAATGCTATGGATTTAGGGATTGTCAAAGTATTGTGCTTAAAAGAATGCTCTTGTGATTTTCTAGATGGTCCATGCTCACTTCTTGATGGATTATGCCTCTCCTTTAGCTTAGTTAGTTTAATTTCATGCCATTAGTTTAATTGTAGTGTAGTGATAGCGTAATTGTTAGATGAGAGGACAATCCATGCTAGTTGTTTGATGTTCCATACTTTTAAATGCAAGTAGCATATGTCTCTAACCTTGTGGTGTGTTTGGCTTGTGAGCTTAATGAAAGGATTAATGACTTGCTAGATATGTTGTGCTTTTCACATGTTATTTAGACAATATATACTTAATTGCTAGATATATTGTGCTTTTCACTTGTTGATTAGACAATGTATGCTTAAATTGGTCACCCTTGCTAATTGAATCAACCAAGCACACACACACAACTATTGCAACACACTTTACCCTCATTAGTCACTAGTTGGAAGTGTAGAAAAGCATTACTTGGTGGTGACCTCTAGATCCCAAGATCTCTCTCTCTCTCTCTTGCTTACTCTTTATTACATTCAATTACTTAGTTTAATTTAGTTGTTCTCTAGTTTACTTAACCCACCAACCATTTGTTTGATCACTCGACCTACTAACCCTAGTTGCATTTTCACATTCAAGTACGACTCCAATCCCTTGGGACGACCCCTTCTCACTCATACTACATAGTATAAGTGTTAAGCGGTTTATAAATTTAAGTATGATGCCCACTTGACACTATTCTCCAAACTCAAAGTGTTGTGCATTATTTTGTGCACACCTAGGGCTAAGCATCATGGACCAACCTTAAACTTGAACTTGTGACTAGAACAACCTTTGAGGTTGTAGGAACCTTCTTCCTTGCCCCCGGCGAGGTGAAAGCGGTATGAGCTTTAGTTGTTACGTGGATAGATTTGGCGGATTTGACGGAATTTACTTTTACCACATCGTGTTACCTTTTGGTAGGAACGGATGTTTTGGCAATGTTCCACATCATTGGGCTTGCAGAGATGTTGGTACCACTTGACAAAGTTGCAGCCTTTTTGCCACCTTTTGTGGTGGTAATGATGTTGTCCATCACAACTGCGATGTCCTTCGAGGTATTCTTGCTCTTCGTCTGAATCTTGTTGGAAGTCATAGAATTTGACGATGAATTTGTTGAGGATTTGATGTAGGAGAAAGAGATGAGAGGCAGAGGATGTCCCACTCGCCGTGCCAAAAATTTGTACACACAAATTTTATAGTCTGCAAATAAAGAATAAAATAGAGAGCAAATAGTAATTTATTGATTTATGGAAATTGAGTTCAATCCTCTAAGATATTCTTTACAAAAGAAAGAACTTGTCATCTGATTCGATCTCCTTTGTTGGTTGGATCCAAGGGCTGTTGGAGCTTGATCTTGAATCGGGTTGTTGACAATCTTCTTCAAGTATTTGTAGTTGAAGAAGATTGCCGATGATTTCTGATCAAGGGTTGACGAAGCTTGATCTCAAACAGTGTTGTTTGATGATTCTTTGAACTTATTGAATAGCAGGGAAAAGAACGGCACGATTTTGATGTGCTTGTTGTCCTTTGTTGAATATGAGGAAGAACGACGCGGTTTTGGATTGGATGTGCATGTTGTTCTTCGTCTTCAGAGAATTTGTGGAAGAATAGTACGACTTTGGTTGTGCTTGTTGTTGATCACTGTTGAATTTTGATTAAGAACGGCACGATTCGATGTGTGCTTGTTGTTGATCACCATGGAATTTTGATGAAGAACGGCACGATTTGATGTGCTTGTTGCTGATCACCGTGAAATTTGATGAAGAACGGCACGATTTAATGTGCTTGTTGTTTTTCGCTTTTGGGCAGAGTTTCTGTATTTCTCTCTGGATTTCTGATTCTTAAAATTTTTGGCACCTTAGGATTTCTGAGTCTCTGAATTTCTAGACCTTCTGGAATTCAGAATTTGTATGTCTCTTCCTTTTTTCTCCAAACCTCTATTTATAAGTTTCTTGAATTAATAGGATGATAACACGTGTCATCTTCTGATAAGGATAAAATTATAACTAGGCCGGACCGGTTATATTATGATAATTTTCCTTAAATATAATTACTCCAAATATATTTTATTAAGAATAATTATCTTTTTATTTAATCATCTGAGCTGGGCTGGACTAATTAAATAATTTAAGTAGACGAACATTGAGCCAATTAAATAATTTAATTAAACATTAGACTCATATTTAATGAGTCAATTTGTCAAAACAAGCAAAAACATAAATCTGTTCAAAACTTCAAATTGACCATTGCCCTCTTCACTCCCTCTATTTATATTTCCTCTCAAACAAATAAAACAGTAAATTACCAAAAGAAAAGAAAATCAAATGAAAAAATAAAAGAAAAAAGAGTGACTAGAATCAATGGGAATAGATAGACTTTTCAAGATGACGAGGTCACGAGACAGGAGTGGTACCATGTATCCGTGAATATCAGAGTTTGTCAGCCGTCCATTCTCTCTCTTCTCTTCTCTTCTCATCTCTGAATTGAGGAGAGGCGTTGGTGTGGGAGATACACACACACACACACACACACACACACACATATATATGGCTTTGTCTGCAAATACTACTAGTATCATATCTCACAAGTACAACCGAACCCTAACTGGTGCACCCCATTTTCCTTCTTTACTGAAGCTTAAAAAAAACCCAATTGTCTCTGTGTCTCAACATCGTCTCCCCATCTCTGCAACTTCTTCCTCCACTACCAAGACCGACCCGGATGTAGTTCAACTTCAGGAGGACCAGAACCCCAGCTTCACTCTCCAACCTCCAATCACTAGTATACACTTCCTCTCTTTGCCTAGCTCTTTAATTTTATCTTCTCTATCTTTTATTTAGTCTTAAAATTGCCACATTTAATATATATTCTGTTGATCTTCAGAGCCTGCTTTAATAAACTCACACGGTCTGCTATTGTCCTTTCCAGAGGAACCAAAAATTCCAACTCTAATGATCATGGGATCATAATTTATCATTATCACCCATCTAATTCATTCAACTTTTAAATTTAATAATTTCTACAATTAAATTCTGCTTCTTACTTATTTCATTAAATTCTGCTTCTTACTTATTTCAGTATAATACAGCCTTACTACCTATTTCTATTTGGTCTGTGTATCTAATATTTTTCTAATGATGTTTGATACCTTGAAACATCATCTTTGACTTTGAGAGACCCTTACATCTGTTGTATCATATTCTATATGCTATAGCTCATGAAGGTGATTTTACAGTTACTATTATATTTTCTTAGTCGAAGATTAGAGTTAAAAGTGAAAATAAAAGTGCATATTTGGGGTTTTGAAATTGAAATTCTTGATTATGTTAATCGTTAATGTAGGGGAGAAGGGACAAATCTGTTACAAATGATAGTGTGATATTTGAATCAACAGAGGAGACGCGTGTAATTCACCCCTAAATAAATCATGACTTTGCTATTTAACTTGAACCTTCTTGAAAATAACCATATAAACCTCACCTGAACACCCCATTCAGAAAATGCAATGTCTAAACTTACATGGCATAACACAAACTCATTGTAATTTATTAGGTTGGTCAGAATTTGCAACAAAAGTGTCCGGTGAATGGGATGGGTACGGGGCAGATTTTACAAGTGAAGGGAAGCCTATTGAACTTCCTGAATCTGTTGTACCCGGAGCTTTCAGGGAATGGGAGGTTAAGGTGTTTGACTGGCAGACTCAGTGCCCAACTCTTGCTAAACTGGAAGATTTTGATGCTACATACAAATTGATAAAGCTACTTCCTACAGTTGGATGTGAAGCCGATGCTGCAACAAGGTACAGCATTGATGATAGAAATATAGGAGGCGTAGATAACAAGGTTTCTTCCTTTGCATATCAATCTAGTGGATGTTATGTAGCGGTTTGGGTGATAGAGGACCGTGCTACATATAGATTATTAGAGTTGGAGCATTGCTTGATTGATCCTAGAGATCAGGAGTCACGCATGCGGATAATTCAGGTTGTCCGTGTTGAAAAGACTAAGTTGGTTTTACAGAATATCAAAGTCTTTTGTGAGCAATGGTATGGGCCATTCAGAAACGGAGAGCAGCTGGGTGGATGTGCTATTCGTGATTCTGCATTCGCTTCCACAGACGCCTTGAAAAGTTCAGAAATAACTGGTGTTTGGCAGGGTCTCAATGCTGTTGCCAGCTTTCAACAGTCTCAGACTGTGAGTTCCATGTTCTCCGAAAACCTTTTTTGTGATATGTGAATAATTCTTTTAAAAAATCATGCTAAATTATCAAATTGCAGTACTTTACTACCTATAACCTTATCTAGGTATACCGCAGAATTCCCTTAAAATAACTCTTCTCTTAAATTTTGTTTAGTTGTTAATGTTGTTCATTTGCCCAACTACAGAAAAAATTTGATCAGCTCATTCATGCCTCATTTGGGTGATTTTTCCTAGTATTGTATTTGATAAGTACGATTTTCCTCGTATTGTCTGTCATAAACTACATATGTTAGTTAGGATCAGCAAGTAGGTGATTCAGCCAGTAATACAGTTCACCTCTCAAGATCACGATACATGAATGGATGGCTGAGCTTTTGAACTCCTTGATTATTCGCTAAGATAGCTATAGAGGAGTTCAGTCTACTGCTGTAAGAGTCAATAGAAGCCCCCTGTCAAATTCTCAAAGCAGATTCTATGCCTATATTATGCAACCTGCAATGGTACATTGCGTGTAGTTAATGTGTTTAAGCATCTGATTTTTCAACTGCAATCCTGAGGACACAAGAACGCCATTAAATATTCATATTTTTCAATATTCTTATGTAACAGTGTGTGTAACATTAGCATTTCACTCGTTTTAAATTAAAAATGTAACAAACAAAAGAGAATTAAGAGTTTTACGTCCTATTTTATAGTAACTTGAATTGTCAGATAGGCTTACTAGGTGCATTGTTCATCCAGGTATGTCAAGTCACATGTATCCCATATTTTTATCCAAGTGTAGATCCAAGTAACATAGGTTCTTAGTTCTATGTGTGAAATTAGAAGAAAATTTTAGAATTGTTAATTTGTTAACTATTTAATTTTTACACTAGGCTTTGATTTCATATTCTTGATTGTTATGTTGTGTAAAATTTCCATCTTCAAGTACCATTTTATCACCCAAGCAATTGATGCACGAGTTTTATTCATATATTATTACTCCATTACCTGCTCTAGGTTTTTCAACTTTGATGTATAACAATGCAACTTCATTGTCTGATCTGCATATTATGCCAGAACATTCTTGCAGAGCTTTTAGATGACAGCGTGCGCAAGTCAGTAAGAGATGAACACAATCTCATATTGCTCCCAAAGCAATTATGGTGCTCACTGAACGAAAGGGAAAATGGTGAAACTTGGTGTGAGGTGGGATGGCTGCTAGATCAGGGATTTGCTATTACATCAAAATGCATCTTCTTAGGGGATGCAAAGTTAAAGGCAAGTAAAATGATGTGTCTTAATGATCTTTCTAGTTTTCTCATGCAGCTAGTTTGCAACAGTTAATCAAACTTAAGGAAGTTAAGACTTCTTGAGTACTAGCTATGTGGTGAGGGAAAGGATTGATTCAGTGGTTCTTATTTTATTTTCTTTCTTTTATGATAGCTTGATAGGTGAGCATGAAAACCTGTTCTAGACTGACTTTTCTTCGACCAGTCTTATTGTGTTCTGGTTGTGTAGAAGATTGGAACACCATTGATAATTTGGTGACTTTTTGGTGATTATATTTGGTTGGTTACATTTATCTTTAAGCACTGAAAATAGAAATTTTGGTAGGATCTAGGATGATAATTTGGTGAATCTTTTGCTTGGAGCAGTGATAAACTCTAGCTGTTAAGCAATAGAGCAAGTGCTTGAGTTTGAAATCAGTCACATTATGCAAATAATGTCAAAGATTAGTATGGAACCAGTCCAACCCTTCCAGTTACAGGGGACTTGGACCGGTTAATATATTGCCCAAGAACTTTTTATTCCGGTTTTTTGTTTTAAGTAAGCTAGTGCAGGTTTTGAATGTTCCTTTAATACAAAAAAAAAAAAAGAATCATACAACTTGAAGTCTAAAATTGAGATTCAAAGGAGGCACTTGGAACAGCTAGAAGGCCAAAAAATGGGTTTCGTGTTGCTTATAGTTTACTCCCATATATGATACGCAGGTGTGCATAATTTGGTAAGGTTTCTCATTTAGGTAATTTGTTAAGGGTTCTCACTGAAAATGAAATTAGACACATTGAATTGTTTTCATATTTAGTTAAAATTCAACCATTTTTACCCTCTTCGCTTCAATCTGATAGTGTTCCTCCTAGTAAAATTTTACAATTTGCAATCTACAAATAAGGCAGTCTTATGTTATTACCATCAACTATTATTATTTTCGGGGGTAATGACCGTCAACTATTATTTCTTTTGCAGGAAATTACAATAGCATGTGAAACTGCAGATTTGGCACAATAGCGTTCAAACCTGCAGCCATGGACAGTATAAAGTAATCTATTGCAACGCCCACTCGCATAAAGCACCGGCATACAAGACAACTCAAAATTGTTACTCTACCATCCAGCAGTGATTCAGTTGCAACTTCAACAACAAAAATATTGGGTGAAACAGAAAATGTTGTAATGGGTAGATTCGAGCTTATGGGTCAGTCTGTAAAATAGTGTATGATATATGTTTGATTACAACTATAATACTAAATCATATTTTCTTAATCAAATTTGTACTATGGCACTCACTCTGCATGTGATTGACTCGTTGTTGAGGGCATAACGCCTGGTTTTCTTCGTGGTATGCTTGTATAATGTTTTATGGCAATCGATCTTATAGACAGTTCCACTCTATTAGGATTACAGCAATACCAGTCTGTCTATTTGAATTAGGTTTTGTATGGCAGACAGATCATATTTGGAAATACAGTTTTTTAGTACGAGCATTGTGACAAGAAATGTTTGTCCTACCGTTTATTTAGACCCTCAAAGAGGAGGAGAGGACAATGTGTAGGTGAGTACCTGGAAATTATATATATATATATATATAAGTGTCAATGACAGTATAGAAACCACCATACTCACATCTTCACTCCAAGACATTACTGGCACAGGAGAACATTCCTTGCTTGTATAATTTACTTAGAAAGGAAAATAGGATTTACCATACCACAGTCATTGCAAGTTGTAAAGAACTTTTTTATTTATCTATTATTATTATTTCTTTTTTCGTGATTACAACTCATTGACTTGGGAAATAGAACAGAGGCACCCCATACCCACACACTTAGAAATGCCCTAGTATGTAGATTTTTTTTTTTTTTTTTTTTTTTTTTACATTTGATGTCCAAAAACCTCTCCTAACTTGATTAATATAGCCTAAAGCCCCAAACAAAGAACACCGCAAAATAGCTTAGCAACTTGAGTAGCTAAAGACTTCACTCATGTTTACAAAGCTTACAACATTTCTTGAGTTACACGGCAACATCAAGGCATAACTGACAGCATGCTCAACCTTAAACCTCTCCAATCTTAATCTTCTTGACATGGATGAGGTATCAAAATTTTGAGAAAATCGTATCATTCAAGCTTAATCGACAAACCTCCTCCTCTTCAGGCTTTGCTGCACCACCTGAAAATGCCCCCATGACCAGAAACATGAGATCACAAGTCAAACCACACAACTTGTGGAGCAGATAGACACTGGTAAACATGGTCTTGGAGACCCAAATGTTGACGATAGTTAGGTCAATACAAAGAAAATATATTGCCAAACGAGGATGTAAAATTCTTCACAAAACATTGACAAATATCTGAAAGCATTGAAATCTCTCCGTGAAATCTTTTCAACACATATTCAACACCAAGATAAACTTACTAGTTATTACAAACTTTAGGATGATATCATTCACACTGGAAGAAAAATTATTCTATATTTTTACTCCATGTACTAAATTAATTTTCCAGATAAAATTTCATTGGAGTTTGCCATACTGAAAGAACCAAGAAAATACAGCATAGGCACTTCTAAATTGGATCCTGTCAAATCTGTACTCCAATGAACAAAACCACCAAGGAGGCAATCACCAGCAAATATTGTTTATGCTCACTTTTAGATGCTAGACAACACCTGGTACGTTTGGACGGTCAGAGTGATGGAACCGACTGAGACAACTAACTGACTTTGCCTATCTCAGTTGCAATAGCTTAACAAGCATATCCTGAGCATACTAAAGCACGCGGGAAAATTTAAAGGATCATAGAAAATTTAGTAAAAAAGTTTCATCATTTCTTTAACCAAAATAAAATAAAGAATGCTATAGGAAGGCTTTATCAAAGAGGTGGACATTGAACAAAAACAGGAATCATCGTAATTATGTTGTGCGTGTATGTATTTATGAGTTTTTATATATGTGGATTTGCAGCGATGATATGTAAAGTGGAAGTCCATTAAATGACTTCAGGCAAAGCATGATTACCTGCAAGGGTCAGCTATGGTAGTTAACAAGGCATGATAGCGCACTAAATGTAATAGAACGTTTAAGCCGGATAAGTTTAGTCCAAGTACCAATCTGGTCAGCCTTCATGACTTGCAAGGTAAGCCATGATTAACCAAATACCAGATATGCGAGCTCCCTTAAATCTGCTCTGACCTCAGATGGCCTATAAAAATATGTGTTTCTCAACTCTCGATTATTCAATTTCTCATCGAGGAATATACATATAGAGAGGACATCCTTGTGTTGTGCGCCCGCCCCCCCACCCCCAAAAAAAAAAAGAACACAAGCAGGAACACACAGATTTAGGCTATTCACCCAAAACTAGGGCTACATCCACTGAGTTGCCAAGATTTCACCATGATGAAGGAGCAAAACGAAATTAAAGAGTTGAGATTGATTAACTACTGTCCCCTATACTTATATAGAATTAGAGTTACATAACAATGAATCCACAAATGTGGTAAGGTGTAAAGTATTTATCATACTCCACACTTCCTATCAACTCAAGTTTCTTCAATATCTCTTATTAAAGGCTTATACGTAGAAAGGAGGTGTTTGTGGATCATCAATCTCTTATCGAGGTTTATTCATAGGAAAGCAGTGCTATTGGGTCTTCAAGTCTTCTAGCAGGACGTATATGAGAACAGGTCCCCAAAAGACTTTACTTGTATAGAACTCCTTGACGCTGTCTTTCTGAAGGAAAGAAGCCCTCGAGACAAGACTGACTTGAAAAGAGGTTCTTTCTATATACATGTGCTGGCAGCCAAATTTACATGAGAAGAAGTCCTCACAATACAAGGTATATTTTAACATTTTGGGACTCTTTGGAGGTTGTAGGAGAATTCTCAAGTTCCCTTCGACTCCTTCGAGCAGACATCAATGAGAGGTGGCCACAATGCCTTCTTTGGAGTAGAACTCGAGAAGAACTATCTAACTCAAAGTTCAGGTATGGTGTCAGGCTGGACACTGTCTGCCAAAATGCCATCCATATCGTGTCATATTCTGCACCATGATGCCATGTGCACACAGGAGTCATATTGCCACAATATATGTACACATTTTTGTCACTTCCTTGTTACTCTTTCATCCTTGTGACATGGCCGATATTGATTAATGTGACCCAACTCAACTCAACTTCTTATCCCAACTCAATAAAAAAAATGTGACACGAACCATAAATTTCATTTTACAATCCTGAAATATCATATCAATATATTTCTTTGTTACCATGTCGGGATGTCGGCGTCCAGTGTTGGTGTCTATGCTTCATAGGCAATAGTTGAGTTTAATCCCATCAAATTGATATCAAGCCTATCAAATTGGATCGACTTCAGTTCACTAGGTACAACAGATGGGATCTAATGTTTCTTGAAACATTTCTAGATGGGACTTGCTGCCATGAAAAGTCAGGAATCCCCAGCTTAATTAATTTAACTGACTTCGATTTTTACTTCAGCTTCAAAATTAATGTGAACAGAAATAGTGCTGTATACCAATGTTGTGTTACATGCCACATCCTCTGTTACATGGACTCTTCAAAAGTAGTGAAGTACCCATGTCGAACGCATATCCCTTGGACATGGGTATGGGATATGTGTTCGACACTTTTGGTTGGACATATACTTAAAAAGCATATCCAATCATTCAATTACATTATATTATTACTCTATATTGAACATTACATTAGATAAAAAAAATTACTTCACTCTAGAAAATAAAATAAAATACTACCTCTGTCCCAAAAAAGATGTCCTGTTTGGGGAACCGCGACTCACAAATACCCAGAACAAGACATCTTTTTTGGGATAGAGGGAGTAATTAATAAAATGAATATTTAGCCATGTCCGTGTGTCCTTCTATTTAGAGATTTGACACGTCCAACGCATGGATACATACCCGTGTCCGACACCCGTACCCGAGTCCATGTAACATAGGCCACATCCATATTGGATATTGCATTGAAACATCTGCACCACACTCTTTTACGATGTAAAACAACATTAGTGTACACCACTAACTCGGTTTTCACCACTTGTCTGACAAGAATGACTAATCAGTCAAAGAATTCAAATTCAGTATATGCTAGTCTTGGATATCTTGTACTAGTCCCTTAATATGGTGTTAAGTCGCCCCACATAGAGATCAAGTATGCTACTATATACATAATGAACTTTGAGATGATTCTGGGAATTGAAGAGGATCTACCAACTTTCATAATCACTTATATATATAATTAACAGAAAATGGATTGTATAATAAAAAATTCTTAATGTTGAAGAACCTGTACATGGCATGTCTATTTAGAACTAGTCAGTTCCCAGTCCCAGCGCATCTTTCATGCTTAAATTCAGACTCCCTTGCATAGTTCGCCTTCCAATTCCTGCATTGCCTTTTTGCATCATAGCGACAAACTCCCCATAGTCAATTCTCCCATCCTGAAGAAAAGGGAACCGTTAGACAGTTGCTGCTAATTAACAAGTACAAATATTTAGAACACCAAAAAATTGCTAAATTCAGCTGAGTTGAAAAGATTTCTCAAGGCACATTTCCATCTCCAACTCCCACAATTAATTATGCTACAATAATGTATTCTAGAAACTACCAAGCCTTTAACACGTCAATGTTGCTATTTATGCTGGTTCCTGATATGAACTCCTGGGGGACAACTATTGCCACTCCCACCACATATGCTCATCCAGAATTTTTCTCAGGACATATAATTTCAGGACATCACTTTGAAATGTGAGTATAGAGAGAGGATTTCAGACTCAAGTAACTCTACTTAGGAAATAATGATGGCATCCTAAATCATATGTCTGAAAAGGAAAACGAAGAGAAGGGATGTTGTAGGCGGTGCCGGGGAAAAATATTCAGTTGTCATTTCTTTCAGATTGTCCTATTAAAGGTCACGTGACTAATAGTTAACTTTCAACAGTAAAGTGCATGCAAGAGTTATCGACAAAAGATTAGATCATTCAAAGATTAATTTGACAAATCAGATCTGACACAAGACCAGTGCTTTCTCTAATCATAGGACTTGTTATTGGCTTATTGTTTTACAGTATAAAAGGAAAAATGTATTCCCAATTAAAATATCGAGAACTTACATTATCTTGATCAACTTCTCTGATGATATCTTCAAGCAAGACATCAGTCATATTATGTTCTGCACAAGCTTGCTGAAGTTCATCAACTGTAATATAACCACTTCTATCCTTGTCAAAGTATTGAAATGCTGCCACAAGATGTTCCTCACGTTCTATCTTATTAAGGTGAAGAGTTGCAGCTATGAATTCCCCGTAGTCAATGGTCCCACTGTTGTCCACATCAGCCTGAAAACAACTATGATGGTTCAGCTACTCAGAAAATTTAAACTTGGAGACCATAAGCAAAAGACCTCTTAGATTTAAGTAACGCTATTCAGTAGCAAGTTACAGATATATGAGAAGGCAATTCTTAACAGCAAGTGTTTATTCTTCTCCTTGTGGAGGATTTAAATAGTACACAAATAATTACAAAGAAGGGAAAAAAATAACTACAAAGAAGGAAAGAAATTAAAGACTAAAAATCAGCTCCTATAACTATGCTAATCAGCACATGTACAGCTAATTATCTACGTTATATGGTCAACAATACAGCTAATTATCCATATATGTCAACAAAGGGGACATTTACAAGACACTGACATGTCCTTGGTCTATAACACTAGGAATGAAGTGGGTGAAAATTTATACTTTTTTTTTTTCTTTTCCAATTCCTCATTTTATAAAATGCTTTATGCTTTGTTCGGTAGGGAAGAAATAAATTGGATGGAAGGGAGAGAAGAAGGGATGGATGAGACATCCCTAGCGAAGAGATTGTGTATTTCCTTCTTTTCCTTCGGTTGGGTAGAAGAGAAGAGAATAAATTTAAATTTCCTATGTTTGTTAAGAGAGAAGGAAAGAGAAAGTTTTAATTGTTTTTACCATTATATCCAATAATATTTATAATATTGTAATTTATAGATGATAGTAGTGTAATAAAAAATTTGTTTAATTTAGGATAGTATTTAATTTAAAACTTATATAAGAGTCCAATTGTTTTCCCTCCTTTCTTCCGCCCATTCGCCCATTTTTGGGTGGATGAAAATTTGTAAAGGAGGAAGGATGGGTCATCCTTCCTATTTTCCTTTCTTTCCTTGTATCATTCCTACTGAACAAAGGAAATGTGTTCCTTCCTTCCTATTTTCTCTCCACACTTCTTTCCTTCCTTCCTACCGAACACAACATTAAGATGATTGAAACCATTTTTAAAGCCATCTGAACATATTCCAATTCATGGGTTCCATACAGTCAAGAATCTATTTTGTAAGTCAGGAAAAACATTACCTAATCAATATGGAATTTACCAATTATATCACCAACTAAATTAATTGCTTGCATAAAATAAATATATTTGCACAAGGAACAGCCATCTGAATACCCATCATATGTGTATTTATACACATACACATATACACCTTTAGTTTCTGCTCGAATTCACGATGGACACTGCCCGTGAAGCAGCAGATACTTAGTTCCAAAGAACAGAAACATGATACCACAACATTAACATCATCAACTGGCTCCAAATGTCACAATGAAAAGAGAGGGAAAACAAAAAAGAAGAGTCTGGAACAACAGCCCGTCTCTGCTGTTGTTCTACTTGATTAATCATTGTGATTTATTTTAAACAACACTACTGAAGAATTTGCAGCAAATGATGTGAATGAGGCTAGCAAAATCCAGCCCAAATCCAGAAAAAGTATCATTCCAAGAATTAAAAAGGAGCTGCTACATGTCATTTTAGATCAGAGGACTGCCATCATTGCAAGTACAAATGTTATGGCAGGTGATCAAATTCTAATACCATTACAAAGATTCACTTTAATAAGGGAAGCACAGGCTAATTGTAAGTTCCTTGTCTTACAAAACAAAATTTCCCACCAATATAACCTCAAATTTTAGTCAGAAAACAATGAATTAATACAGTTTCCAATTCTTCCAAGATGGGAAAGGTAGCTGACCAAACCCAATTTCACCTTAATATCGATAAACATAAAGGGACGGAAAGAAAAAGAAAGAGAGACTTCAGACTAAAAACAAAATTGAAACGAAACAAAATAAATGCTCACAACTCCAAATGCGCAAACTGCGAACACCAAACTACTATGAAACAAATGTCTTACCGCGTCCATAAGGTCACGTATCTCTATATCCTTTAATGTAGAGCCGTATCTTCTCAAACCAGCTTTAAGTTCATCAAATGTTATTGCACCACTGCTGTCAGTATCCATTGCCTTGAACATCTCTCTTAAACCAGCAATCTCCTCCTCTGACAGGCTTTCAGCAATTACCTAATGGCACAACCACACAGTGACAGAACTTCTTGTCATGTTAGAGTCCAATTTTTTTCTCAAAGAAGAAACCTGCTACTAATGATGTATCAGTAATTTTTCAATAAAAATTCCAAACCACACATCGAGTAAAAGGAGCATCTGGAATTTATTCTAGGGTGCTGTAACTAAAAAATTAGACATACAACTGAGTGAAGGAGAAACTCCAATAGAACAAGCTCAATATGCACTAAACACTGACATGCATACACATATTTAAATATATATGTATAAAGATTGATATAGAGATAAATATATATGAAAGAATCAACGAATCAAAGAAAAAATCACAAGGAGTGGCTAAAGGCTGCCATGAACAAAGATGTAGACATTTAAGTATTAGAGAGTGTGGTTCTTATTTCTTATATTTATCAAAGGTACTATTGTCTTTATGTCTACTTAATATATAATAGGTGAGAGGTGTGGGGAAAACCCTAATCTGTGTGTCTCACTTTTCACAGAATACTCCTCTCTGTTTCTCTCATCTTCTTCCTCTTCTTCTCTACTTCTACAAACCCTAACTTCTTCAACTTTAACTTGGTATCAGAGCAAGATCAAGTCTAGAACTCATTGACATTCAATTATCCAACACCAGAAGAGGTTGACATCAGCATCAGTTCGCTAACGTCAGCATATACAGGTCGCGAATTACAGCAACTAGATCGCCTGAATTTCTTGTAATTATGATAGTATTCTCATTGCCTTTTGATGCTTTTTGAGGGTCGTTTTCCATTTTTGAAACATTTTTTAAATTCTGGCCTTTTTGATCTGGATTTTGGAGCCATTTTTTGGTTGTTTATTTTGTTGAAATCCCTTCTAAAGGGTGTCGTTTGCGCCTTGGAGGAGATTGCTTGGTGGTTGTGTTGATTCGTTGCATTTAGGTTGAGTTTTTTTTGGCCAAAAGGAGGTTTGGCTGAGGTTGTTTACAGGCTGTTGGTACTGTTTTTGTGAGTTTGGTGCTAAAATCTGTTGTAAAACATTGTTTGGGTTCTTGGGCTGCAGGCTGTTGTTACTGTTTTGGTCAGATAGGGGCTGAAATCTGCTGTTAAATCTTCGAATTGGGTTGTTGGTGGTGCTATAAAACTGATATTAAAACCCGTTTGCTTCTGCTTGCTTTGTGTGTTGATTCTGGACTTATACTCTGTTCAGCTGCTGGTTTATTTTGTTTAAATATTGCACATGGCTGAGACTAAGCCACAAACTATCAAGGATGATGATATGCCTAAGTCCATTACCTCGCGAAAATTGAACGGAGTTAATTCTCTTTCTTGGGCTCATGCGGTTCAAGTTTTCTACGTGGGCGAAGGAAATTGAAACACTTGACTGAAAATCCTCCCTCTAATGAGAAGCAACTTGAAGATTGGGCGTGTGCGGATGGTGTTGTTATGGGATGGCTTTGGCACAGTATGGAACCCAAGATTGCTAGTACAGATGCATTTTGTGATTCTTCTAAGAAGATTTGGGACTCTATTGCAAGTCATTTTCACACCAAAGTAATATTTCTCGAGTTTATGAGTTACATGAGAAAATTTTTGCTACTAAGCAGTCCAGGAAACCATTGTCGGAATACTATAGTACCTTCAAAATTTTGTGGGATCAGTTGCTGCAACATCGACCATTTAGTACTGATTTAGAACAGCAGAAGAGGCTTTGGGAGGAATTTATGATTGCTTCATTGCTATCTGGTTTAGATACAGATCTTCGTGGCTTCAAAGATCAGATTCTCGCTAGCGAGAAGTTACCTACAGCTGCTAATGCTTATTCTCGTCTATTACGGTCATCTTTGGGGCAAAGCTCCATTGTACCTCCCACAGAGTCTTCTGCATTAGTCTTTAGCAGTGGAGGTCGTGGTGGTTCTCGTGGTAACCATGCTGGTTGAGGTTTGCGTGGTAGTTCCCGTGGTAGTGGCCGTTCTAATGGACATGGTGCCAGAAAGTGTAATCATTGTAGTGGTACAAATCACACTGAACCTTATTGTTGGGTGAAATATGGCAAACCACAACATGCACGTCAGGTTATGGATGGTACTGCACAACCACTGTTGCCTCATACTACATCTGGACATGTGGCTTCTGATTCTGGTTCTCGTGATACGCTCACTACTCAACTTAGCGAGCTCATCCAAACACTACAATCTATTCTCCCAAGTAATATTGCATGTGTGGCCCAATCTTCTCCGTCCTGGGTCATTGACTCTGGAGATAGTTCCCATATGTCTGGTATGTCATCTTTCTTTTCTGATCTCAAATCTATTAAACATCATATAGTTTTAGCTGATGGTTCTTCTCGTCGTGTCTGTGGGAAGGGTGTCCTTCACCCTCCTTCACCCTACCAAGTCATTGTCATTATCTTCTAACCTTTATGTTCCTAATTTTCCTTTTAATCAGCTTTCTGTAAGTCAACTGACTAAGGCATTGCACTGTTCAATAACTTTTTCTCCCAACTCTTGTGTTTTACAGGACCTCAGGATGAAGAAGATGATTGGTTCTGGGTATGAGAAGGATGGGTTATATTATTTGGATCTTGGTGAACCTCCTTCTACCTTATCCTCAGCTTTGAGTGCCACAGTCTCGTCTCTTCAATGGCATCTTCATTTGGGTCACCCGTCATTGGCAAATAAGCATGTTGTCAGGGGCTTATTTGTTATTACTTATATAATGTTGGGGATTATGTATAATTTCTGAAACTTGTTATTATAGAATGTGGTGGAAGGATGAAAGTATTCTTTCATTTTTTCTCTCTTTCCGCATCTCTCTCTCTCTTTTTCTCTCATCCGCTTTCTTTTCTTTTTCTTCTTTATCACTTACTTTTGATTTGATTATATCTTAAAGTCAACATGGTATCAAAGCATGGTTTGTAAAGCTTTAGGTTTGTAGTTGAAACCCTAGGGCAAGTTTGTGTAAACCTTAGTGGGTGTGAAGGGTTTTGAAGAGATTCCAAGATGGGATTTGTTTGCAAGGAAGTAGTGTTAATCACAGCCACACGTACTGCAGATCCAACTCATATGCATATCACTGGTCGTAGGATGATCGACCATATCGAAGGGACTGTCACGTATTCTGGTATGTGACAACGGCTTTTTTGTGTTCGCGGGGTTCTGCAACAACGGTTTTTTCTTTGTCATTCGCGATTTTGGTATGGTTTACTTTGTTGCTTTCTAGGGTTTGTGTGGTGACTATGTGGTTGCTTTTTTATGCATCTCAGAAGACGATAATCTTTTTAGTTGAAGTTTGTGTTAGAGAGATGGTTCTCTACGTATTTTGTTGCTGTTTTTGTTTCTGAGGATTGTATACCCAGAAATTGTTTGATAAAATGTCTGGCTCAGAGGTGACTTCAAAAGAAGTTGGGTCTTCTCCTAGTCTGACTCTAGTATTAGGAGGTAGTAGTGATCACCATACGGGCCTTTGTATTACGATTGTTAGGCTGGATGAGACGAACTATATGGAGTGGGCTCAATCTGCTCGTATGCATATCACTGGTCGTATGATGATCGACCATATCGAAGGGACTGTCACATATCCCTCCAAGAGCGATTCTAAATTCAAAGAGTGGAATGCAAATAATGTACTAGTTATGATGTGGTTGTTGTAGTCCATACAGCCACAGATCAGCAAACAGTTTCTGTTTGTGAAAACAACTAAAGAGCTATGGATGGCTGTGAAAGAGACATATTCCTCGGTTGGTAATTTTGCAAAACTGTATGAACTCCAACAACAAATTTCAAGATTCAAGCAGGAAGACCAAACTCTTGCTACATATTACCACACTCTACGTGGTAAATGGGAAGAGTTAGATCACTACCAAGACTACATACCTATGTGTGCAATTGATGTTAAAGCATTTCATGCTATAGTAAAAAAGAATAGAATCTATGAGTTCTTGGGTGGTCTGCATTCAGGATACGAGCATCCTAGGGTACAAGTGTTAGGCAGGTATCCAGCCCCTACTTCTGTTAGAGATGTGTTTTCGTATATCCAGGTTGAGAATAGTAGAATGAAGGTTATGTCTGCACCTATATACACTAAACCCGAGCCAGAAGTACCATTGTCTGAGAGGACTTCTCTTGCCACACAACAATGGAACAAGCCCAATCCTTCAAAAGGAGGGAAACAGGATGACAAAAACAAGTTGAGGTGGGATCATTATGGGCTTATGCGCCACACTAGGGAAACATGTTGGAATCTACACGGTCACCCTACTCCTGCTCCTGCTAATGCGAATGCTAGGCCAAGGCCTGGTCCATTTAGGGGTTATCTACGGCACATACTGCAGAGTGTGAGACTGCTTCTACTGGCCATGCCTCCTCAGGGCCACCGAGTTCTTTATCTGGGGTAGAACTTAATGCTCTCCAACATCTACTAGCACAACATTCCTCTGTTTCCACCTCTAACTTTGCTCAGACAGGTTCCTCTTATTCGGCACATCAAGTTTCCACATTATCTGGTGGACCACCCTGGATCATTGATTCAGGAGCCACTAATCACATGACTGGTATGGCATCTAATTTTTCTTCGTACAGTTTATGTTATGGTAAGGATAAGGTTAGAGTGGCTGATGGCACCTTCACCTTCATTGCGGGGAAGGGCATTATTTCTGCCTCTTCTAATCTTACCTTATCCTCTGTTCTTCATATCCCAAAGTTTACCAATAACCTCCTTTCTATCAGTCACATTACAAAAGGCTTGAATTGTAGTGTAACCTTTTTTTCCATCTCACTATTCAGGACTTGGACACGGGGAAGACGATTGGAAGTGGACGTGACGACAATGGCTTGTATTTGCTGAACACGAGGCCAACTTCTTATTATGTTGCAAATCAATCTAGTGTTAGGAATAGTAATGTCAATAAAGATCTGTTAATGCGATGGCATAATAGACTATGTCATTTACCTCTTCCTGTTTTGAAGCATGTGCTTCCCCAGTTTGCTTCTGTTAAATTTTTGAGTTAAATTGTGAAACATG